AGAGGGAGGGAGGGAGAGAGAGGCAGGGGGAGGGAGAGAGAGGCAGAGGGAGGGAGGGAGAGAGGAAGAGGGGAGAGAGGGAGACAGAGAAAGAGGGAGGGGGCCTTCCATCTTGATTAGGAAGAGGGACCCTCACATGCCTCCTCCCTGCTCATGTCGGTTCTCTCTGTCCTCTCCTCTACTTCGTGTCCTGGCCTGTTCCTGGTGGCTGTGCCAATAGGTCCTGGATGACCCCAATGAGGACCATCTGTACATGGGTAAGAGACCCCTCTCCTTCTGCTGCTCTCACTCAGGCAACCGCACCTGCCAATGTCCAGGCGTCCTTTCAAGGCAGCCAGGGCCCAGCCATGGCCCAGTCACATCTGACCAAAGGCAGCTTCTCCTTTCCTGGTCCAGCTGGGCCCCGAAGTGAGCCCTACAGAAGGCCACACCCCGAGTTCAAAGTGAAGCTGTTGTAGTCAGGGAAGACAGTGTAGAGAGAGTGGTGGGCAGGCCACCTCATGTAGGAGATGACCGCTCAGCATTTGAGTGTCAAGGACATAGCCCTGTAACCTTTGGAGAATAGCATTCCAGACTGAGGGACCAGCCATGGGAAGGCCCTGAGGCTACAGGAGATTAATATTGTTCAAGGAAAACATGGCTGAGTCTGAGTAGAGCAGGGAGAGGCCAGGGTGGGACACCTGGGGCCTTAGCCAGGGGCACCAAAGGTTTTGAGCACTGGACATAGAAATAAAAGGACTCAGGTGTGTCCTCAGAGACCCCATTAAAGAAAAAGAAAAAAAAAAACAGGACATGAGCCAGCCCTGTCAGCTCTCCTAAATGCTGATGAGGGAGGAAGGACAGGACCCACCGAGACCTGTCAGCAGACTGTCAGGCCCAGGGGCATGGACTGACAGGCCTTGTATCCAGGAACTCCTGGCTGGGGTGGGCCCAGATGAGCCTGTGCATTCTGAGTGCACAAGAGGACAGCCTGGGGAGTGGCTGAGGAGGTGAGGGCAGTGGAGGTGGCAGGCCTGCCACCTGGATGGCCACACAGTGACCCTGGGCTACACAGGGTGTGCTCATAAAGTAATGAGTCTGGTTTGAAGACAGAGCTCAGGGTGTGACTTCCCCTAAGGCAGCAGCCCTTCAGTTCCAAGGATGCTGTTCTTGCCTAGGACATTTTTTTCTTTCCTCATTTGCCCTCCCCAGGTTTTTATTATGAGAATGCTTGGCCTAAGAGAAGGCKGTGTAGCTCAGCCTACAGAGAAGGCAGTGTAGTTTGGTGAATCACTGTCTACATAGCCCCAGGTTCAGCAGTTGACTTTATCTACCCTGCTGTCTTCCAACCATCTCTGTCTCTTTATTTTGCCAAACCATTCAAAAATAAAGTAGCAGACACCTCAGGACTCCAGTCCCTGCATACTTCAGTGTGCATCTCAAAGTAAGGACATTCTTGTACATGTCCCAGAACCAAATGGAATTATCCCTGTTCCTTGAGAGCATCTAATGTGGCCCAAATTTGAATCTTACAACTTTTTAAAGACTTCCTTTGGAAACAATTTAGACGCTGGGTGCAGTGGTACGCTCCTGTAATGCTTGCTAACTTGGGAGGCTGAGGAGGGAGAATTGCAAGTTCAAGGCCTGCCTGGGTGACTTAACAAGACCCTGTCTCAAAAAATAAAAAGGAACTGGGTGTGTAGCTCAGTGGTAGAGCAACCCTAGGTTCAATCCCCAGGACCAAACAAACAAAAAGCATATGAGATAATTTTGGGTGCCACATAGAAAACATTTAAAAAACTTTTTTTTTTTTGCATTTAATTTAAAACTCTATAGGAAAAACTATAACCAATAAACTAAACTCATGATTTCATGAATGTTATTACTTACAACAACCTCAAAAAATTAAAAACTAAGTTAATTAAAAAAAAGTTAAATATGTAATCATTTACATAGCATATGTATTTGGCCAAGTTGTACACCTAGTAAGTGATCGAGTGCAGGTCAGGGAAATAGGACAGAGTCGTTTGTGCCTAGAATGGTGCCCCTGGTGTAATTTTCTCAGACCCAACTCCAAATGGCTTTGGGCTGTTTCTGAGGAGATCATTTGTTCATTCAGTAAACATTGCAATTTGTCAGGAACAAACTCAAAACTCCTCATCCTTGGCATTTACCTAAGTGTTACGTGTAGGCCTTAAAGGTGACAACACTATAAAAAAATAACAAATGCTTAGCAGGGTGAGGGGAGCTGGGAGTTCCAGGTCAGGGGGATGGGAACTCAAATGGCTTCTGAGGGGACATTTAGGCAGGACAGTGGGGACCAGGTGTCAGAGGGCATTTTATACCATTGTAAGAATGATGGTGCATACCTCTAATCCCAGCAGCTCGGGAGGCTGGGACGGGAGGATTGTGAGTTCAAAGCTAGCTTTAGCAATTTAGCAAGGCCCTAAACAACTTAGTGAGACCCTGTCTCTAAATAGAATATAAAAAAAGGGCTAGATGTAGCTCAGTGGCTAAGTGCCCCTGGTAACAAAAAACAACAACAAAAATGGCTTTGACTCTGAGCTCTTAGCAGGGAGGGTGCCATTGTGGGGTTTTGAGCAGACTGGAGAGAGGAATGGGTACAGAGTGTGGCCCAAGCATCACAGAGGAGTTTCCCAGGCTGTGTGAGGCGGCAGCGCCACCGAGGCCACAGAGGGAGAGAAGCCATGCTAGCTCAGGCTGTCGAGCAGTTGGGAAAATTCCCACGAGGTTACTTTTACTTTCCAGCTACGGCCGTGCGTGCTGAGGAGACGGGCCAGATGATAGGTTTCAAGAAGGGACTTGAACCACAGGTCTGACCTTCAAAAGGTAGACTGTGCGGCCTGTATTTCTAGAGGAAATTCCCACCCACCATTCAACCCCAAGAGTAGCTGAACTGTGGTGACTGAAAATAAACCTGTTCCAACAGGCCAGCCTCCCCCAGGCCGGCTGACTACTGCTGGCTGGGTGGGAGGAAGGTGCAGAAATCATGAAACTTGCAAATTAAGACATAAATAACCGAGGCAGGAAAGGCCGGAGCTTCTCACCACAGCCTGAAGCAGCAGCAGCTGTGTCTTTTTTGAGGGGTGGGGGGTGGAGGGTTCCGGGGATTGACCTCAGGGGCACTCAGTCACTGAGCCATATCCCCAGCCCTATTTTGTATTTTATTTAGAGACAGGGTCTCACTGAGTTGCTTAGGGCCTCACTTTTGCTGAGGCTGGCTTTGAACTCACGATCCTCTTGCCTCAGCTTCCCAAGCTGCTGGGATTATAGCGTGCACCACTGCGCCCAGCAGCAGGTCTATCTTAACTCAAGTTTATGGTGCCTGAATCCCTGGGAGTGACCAGAGGACGTAGTTGAGTGTCAGTCCTATCTCTTGGAACCTCCAAGGTACAAGTGGAGGGACAGGAGGGAGCCCAGGAGCCCCTGTCCTGCTCCCCTTCTCCCCTGCCTTGTTTTCCTTCACCAATGGATCCTTGGCCATTTTGAGCACTAGAGGTAAAAAAAGCCAGGCTGGGATCCTGGGGACGACAGAAATCTCCTTGGCCTCCCAGTGGGAACTCGGCAAAGCAGGACATTGAGTGGCTTGGGTGCTGTAGACTCTCTCTCTCTGGTCTCCCAGTGTCAGTTTGTGTGCTTCTTGGTGTTTCTAGAGGTGGATGGGAGATGGGGAGCACCCCGAGGGAGTTTTCCAGTTTCCCAGTGTAACAGTTGACCCCTTTCTCTTCTTTGACCCTGACCCTGACCCCTAACCCCTAACCCTAACCCCTTTTTCTTCCTTATAGTGTTTGAACTTGTCAACCAAGGGTGAGTGTCCCTGCTCCCAGGCATGGTCCCCGCTCCCAGGTGTGATGCCCTTGGCTTTGTGACCTTCGAGGCTGAGGGAGGTGGTGCTGGGCTCTGCTGGGGGGAGAGGGCGAGGGCTGATCTGTGTGTCATACATGTTGACGTTTCAGGCCCGTGATGGATGTGCCCACCCTCAAACCCCTGTCTGAAGACCAGGCCCGTTTCTACTTCCAGGATCTGATCAAAGGCATCGAGTACCGTAAGTGAGGCCCCTGGGAGGATCCTCATGCCTGGTGGTGATCAGCCTTCCCAGCTGGTGGGTGGGAGTGGGAGGGTCTCCTGGTGTGCAAGGCAGTGGGCAGCAGACTGTGTGAGTGCAGAGCAGGGCTGGCTTCGGAGAGCAGTCTCGGGGGCAAGCAGAAGCTGCTCTTCCTTCCACAGAGAGAAAATGAAGAGCAATAGTAGTTATGAGCATTTCTCCAGTGAATTCCGTGTGAACCAGGCACTGTTTGGGGCATTACCTTCGTCATCTCTCATTCCTCCCAAGGACCCTGGGACGGGGACCCTGTTAACCTCCCGGGACCTTAGTTTCCTCATCTGTAAAATGGAGACAAAGTATTTCTCAGCAGGGTTGAGTGGTTATATCAGTGGTTCTGATTGGCAGGTGTGCTTTCTGCTCCTGGTTGTTAAATATTTCCACTCTTATCCCTGCCTATCACATAAGATTGTTTTGAAGTTTAATTGGGATAAATGTGAACCACTTAGCACAGAGCTAAGCCCAGGACTGGGTGCCCAACAGTGACACCCTCTGTACTCATTGATACTATGATCGTCATCACCACCCCAGAAACTACACCTAGGTTTCCAGACCATAGCACCRCCCATTGCCATTGGCTGACACCAGACAGGAATGATGAGCCAAGTCCTCAGTTCTGTTTTTTTGGTTCACACTTCAAATCAGCCTGCTCTGGTCATCGTTGCTCCGGTGAATTAGTATTGGCCGTTGGTAATTGAAGCTGTGTTTGACTGGCGTGAGTCCTGAGGCTCTTAGGAGGGTACTAAACCCAATGAAAACTCCGTGTGTGCTGGTAACCACACAGACATGGGGGTTACACATTCTAACAGGTGGTTATGAATGGCTGTAGGCAGTCACTGTTTTGGGAACGAGTCCTTTTGAGAATGAGTATCTTTTGAAGACACTTTCCCCCTTACCTTTTAGAGGATAGAGGTGCCCAGCAGGTTTGGGAGGGGAGGGTTGGGAAAGACCAGGGGCCATGGCAGAGGAGGTACCAGGGTGATGCCACGCTGTGTCTTTGAGCCGTGTGGCCATATGCAGATCCTCACAGGGGTTTCTTGCCCCCTCTGTTCCCTGGGTGCCATCCCACCCAGTACACTACCAGAAGATCATCCACCGGGACATCAAGCCTTCCAACCTCCTGGTTGGAGAAGATGGGCACATCAAGATCGCTGACTTTGGTGTGAGCAATGAGTTCAAAGGCAGTGATGCCCTCCTGTCTAACACCGTCGGCACACCTGCCTTCATGGCACCCGAGTCGCTTTCGGAGACCCGCAAGATCTTCTCTGGGAAGGTAGGTTTGGACCTGTCTGAACCGCTGAGATCTTCCTGTGTTAGGGTCCTTTGGTTGTAAGTAATACAAATACAACTTAAATAGCAAATGCACTGGGGTTGTACAGCTGAGGAGTGGGCATGTGTGGCTTTGGGCTCTGCCAGCCAGTTATGCAAACAGGAATTTGTCTTTCTCCAGCTTTTGGCTGCTTTCCTGAGTTGGTTTCCTCTGCAGGCGGATCAGGCACCAGCAGCTCCAAGCTACTTTCAGCTGACCAACCTCAGTAGCAAGAGCATTCCTTTTTCTAAAGAGCAGAGCAAGAACTCTGGGGCTGGTTGTGATTAGCCAAGTGTGGGTTATGTGCCGGTCCTTGGACCATCCTATGATTGGGGGAATAGTGCTCTCCTTGGCCATGCCTGGGTCATGTGCTCTCTAAAAAGGTTGGGGGACCAACACCTGACCCTCCCCAGCTATGTGGACTGAGAAGAGGTGCTTCTCTAAATGGTGCTGGACAGGCAAAAGCAGGAGATGCCCTTCCCTGCCCCTGGCCACACCTGCCAAGCTCTCTTTTCCTTGCAGGCCTTGGATGTTTGGGCCATGGGTGTGACGCTGTACTGCTTTGTCTTTGGCCAGGTAAGAGGGTGGGGTGTCCTGTCTCCTGAGTGCTGCTGGCTGACCTTTTGGACTAATGGTCATCCTTGCAGAGAGATAGCATTTATTCATCTGAAATTTCTTTATCTCTGTGGCCAGACGTGAATGTGGAAAAGAAAGCCCACCTAGACATAGTACAGATCTGTATATGACACTCAGATTTCTGAAAAAGAGTCTGATAGAACAGAAGGGCTGGCAGAGACTCTGGATTTTGGAGGTATTGCCAAGTTTAGGGCAAGCTCAACAAACACACCACCTCTCCCACTCCTGGGCCCCAGACAGACATCACTAATCAATAGCTGCACTTATTTCTCCTTTGCCACATATTGCTTTGAGCTTCTTTTCCTCAGCGTGTGCTGAGACTCTATTGTCAGGGACAGAATTGGAATGGGAATTAAAAGTCCCTTTGACTTTTTTTTTGACAAAGGGAGTGCTAATCTGCCTTTTTGTCATTGTGACTCTTGTTGTAGTGGTGGTTTCAATATTATTGATGTTTAGAGGCTTCTCTTTTTTTTTTTTTAAATTTTAATATTTATTTTTTAGTTTTCGGCGGACACAACATCTTTGTTTGTATGTGGTGCTGAGGATCGAACCCGGGCCGCATGCATGCCAGGCGAGCGCTACTGCTTGAGCCACATCCCCAGCCCCAAGAGGCTTCTCTTTTTAACTGTGAAGTTCAGTTTGATTATGTGAGCAATTAAAAATGTGAAATTTTCCCTTCCATGAGTTTGTGCTCCTGTTGAGGAAAGCTTAAGAATCTGATCCCGTGTAGCGGGAGTCTGTAGCTCCCCCCCCACACACAGCATTTGATTGGAAAATTTTCAATCACATGACAAAATTGAAAAAATTTTGCATAAACACCCAGGATCACCACCCTCCCCCCCGCCACTGGAGTCTACGGTGACTATCTCACTATGCCTACTTTATCGTGTGGCTCTCCATTCCCCTACCCATCTTATTTTTTAGTGCCTTGCAAGATGGCCAGCCAGTACCTCTACTGTTCTTCCAAGTGCTTTAGAAGGCAGTCATTGGCTAGAACTCCATATTTACCTGTGGTCTTCCCCCACCCCCCCCTTGGAGATACAACTTACATACAATGAAATGTGCTATGTTCCTAATGAGTTTTGCCCAGCGGACGCTGCTGCCCACACATTGCTCTTATAGAAATCATTTTTCTTGGACAGGAGTGGAGTAGGTGACTTTGTTACCTTTTCCCAGTGTGCTGTGCTATGGATTGAACCCAGAGCCCTGGGCATGCTAGGCAAGTGCTCTACCAACTGAGTTATATCCCCAGCCCCAGAGTTCTTTTTTACCAGCAAAGACAACCAGCTTCTATGGGATCAGGCCCTCCACCTGGTGAGAGTTGATTTATCACTTGGGAGGTGGTGCAAAGTCCCATTGAGGTGAAGAGCCCACTCTGAGCTGGCACGTGTCCTCTCTAAACTAATGTTTTTATCCTCAGTAAAAAGAATACTTATTGTTTTTTTTTTTTTTTTTCCTTTTTGGGTCCTGGGGCTTGAACACATGCTGAGCATGCGCTCTCCCACTGAGTTATATCCCAGCACTTTATTATTCCTTATGGCTTCTGAGGGGATGGACAGAGGTAATCCAGTATTTATGACCTGAGGCCCTGTTTCCAGTCAGGAATGTCCTGGACATGGGGGATCTACAGTGAGCAAGACAGATGCAAATCCCTGCCCTCCTAGAACTGACAGGGAGTGGTTGGCAGGGGTGGGGGTGGACAGGGAAGGTGAGTTTATTGGTCACTTGCATTACAGAGAGAATAAGCCATGCAAGTTTCCCTGGGAAGATCACACTGGGTAGGGGGGACAGTGGATTAAGTGTTGGTCACAAGGCCTCCCGCAGAGCCTGGGTTACTGTTGGGGGGAGCAGAATGTTTGCTTTTGTCCCTCCTAGGACATCCCTGGGCAGATGGGAACGCTCCGTCCCCATACTGGGCCATGGCTGTTGACTTCTGTCCTGTAACTCACAGGGAATGATACATCACAGGTGGCCTCTGAAGGACACAGGTGGCAGCTGGTCACCACTACTCTCTCCCCGGCCTCTTTTCACAGTGCCCGTTCATGGATGAGCGGATCATGTGTTTACACAGTAAGATCAAGAGTCAGGCCCTGGAGTTCCCAGACCAGTGAGTGTTGCCTATCCGTCCTTCCTCTCCTCGAGTCTTCTTGTGGTCCTGTGCATTTTATCTCCCACACCTGACATGTCTCCCTCCCCCAGGCCTGACATAGCTGAGGACCTGAAGGACCTGATCACCCGTATGTTGGATAAGAACCCGGAGTCAAGGATTGTGGTGCCGGAAATCAAGGTACCTGGGAGCCACTGCTGGCCCCCGAGGCTGACACCCTGGGTTCAGCCTGCGTCCTGTGCTTGGAATTGTTTGGCTCCACCCCGCCTTGGCCAAGCCCTGTGCCCATTTGTCCACAGCACAACGCCCTCCTCCATACCGCAGCCCTCCCATGCCCTGGGCCTCTGGGTTGCTGGGGTTGGCAAGGGGTAATGAGGAGGTTCTGGGGGTTTTGTTCACTGTGACTGTGTTGTGGGTTCTGTGACCAATCAACCAGGCAACCTTCCTCTTGCTCCAACTGGCTCGGGCTGATGGGGCGTCTACCCTGTGCAGACTGATATAGGGACTTTATATGCTCCATACACTGGCTGCTAAAACTCTGGGTCCTTTCCTTGACCTTGAATGTAGAGATGTGGGCCAGTCCCTTTGAGGAACTGTAGTGAGAGTGGGAGGGAATCTGTCAGCACTTCCACCTCCTCAACCTGCCAGATTCTACCCTGTTGCAGAAAAAGCTTTTTAGAGAAACCTGTGTCCATCTGCCACCCGCCTGTCAATGCCACGAGCACATATCTGGCCCTTTAGGAATCCTGAGATGTGCTTTGAGGTCTYCTAGGCACCTGGGGGCTAGCACTGAAAGGTGTCTTAAGAGAGGGCAGTTCAAAAGGTCACATAGAAGGACTTGGACCTGAGGAGTAGGGCCGGGGACAACTCTGGCCTGGGTCCTCCTGATCATGTCCTTCCAGCTAGTCTCACTGCCTCCCCAGGCCACCATTTTCCCTTCAGTGCAGTGCGGAGGATGGCGCCTGCTCCGAGCAGAGCTTCTAGGTGTCAGTCAGAGTGATGGGCGCTAGTCACCTCCATGCCACACAAGATCTGGGACCAGGTGGAGAGCGGGGTCCAAACGCTTCTCAGCCCCGTGGCCCCTCCCATTCTTGTCTTGGCTTTTGCCTGTTTCCTTCCATCTCACTCCCGCCCTCGGCCTGCCCACCAGCTCTCTGCATGCCTGGCCGCAGGCCCCGGCCGCTCCCTCCTGCATGCCTTTCTTGGCTCCGCTCGCTGGCAGGACCTTCTGGGAGGTGGCTGCACCTGCCCCTCACCCATCCTGTCGTTCGTTGAAGCTGCACCCCTGGGTCACGAGGCACGGGGCCGAGCCGTTGCCATCGGAGGATGAGAACTGCACGCTGGTCGAGGTGACCGAAGAGGAGGTGGAGAATTCTGTCAAACACATTCCCAGCCTGGCGACCGTGGTAAGGCAGATGAACCACCAACCACGAGCAGGGCCCAAGACAGCCTGAGGCGCGCTGGCGGCGAGGACAGGGCCAGGACACAGCGGAGGCCTGGGAAGCAGATGTGGGGCCCGAGAGTCAGGAAGCGGCCGGGAGCTGCCCCTGGCCCACAGCTGCCAACCTTGGCCTCGGTCTCCTGTGAGGCCCCGTGGCCCATGTTTCCAGAGTGAGGCAGCCCCTCTGCAAGACCACACCGCCCCTCCTGAGTTTTTGCTTTCAGAGCATGGCAGGGGAGAGGAGCCAGGAGGAGGAGCAGGACTGGGCAGGGGCCAGGAATGGGGGTTGGAGCCGAGGTCTCATAAGATGTGGTTCCCATCTGTCTGGAGCTTCAGTTTCCAGAGCAGACAGCCCAGCACATGACGTCGGCCTGGTGGGCTGTTCCCCAGCCAGGACATGGGCTTCCTCTCTGCATACCTCAGAAAGTTCTTCCCAACTCTCGAGGGTACAATTTGGCTTGGGAAGAACTGAGCCCCTTTTGTGGCCTTGATTTTGGGGTCCCGACACAAGAAGAAGGAAGCAGAATGTGAATTCTTCAGCCTTAACCTTGGAGACTGTGGGAACTGCCCAGTCGCCAAGCCTCTGCCCCTGAGCATCTGGCTCCAGGAAGAATCCAGGGGTCTGGGGTCCAGGCAACAGTCCTAGCTGGCTGCCCTCTGTGGCCACCTTGAAAGCCCTGGTGCATTTGGCCAGCTCCAGCCCCAGCAGGCCAGGGGACCCTGGGCTCTGGGAGAGACCTGAGAACCTGCAAAGCCAGCGTCCAGCCTGGAGGGGCTTCCCCGCTTGGGGAGTCCAGATGCTGGCTCTTCCTCTTCTAGCTTTGCACTGCTCTCTTCTGCTTCCCACTTTGCCTGTCTCCCTCTAAATCCTGAGCCCCAGGACACTTATCYATGTCTCCTCCCGCCTAGTCCTCTGCATGACCTTCACCGTAGAGACTCACTCGCACCCACTCTCCCTCATCCTCACCCATTCTCCCTCATCCACCCTTCCACGCACCACACCCCATCTCGTGCCTGTGGCCTGGGAGGCAGCTGGTGTGGGACTCTGTGCCTACTGTGGGTTTTGTTCCTGGCTGTTGCCCTGACCCCTCCCCCTCCCCCTGCAGATTCTTGAGAGAGAGCCCCTGATCCCGGGGGTCTGGAGTAGGCATTAGCCATTCAGGAACCACTTCTTAAAAATTAAGAGCGGTTTCTCAGGCAGGGACATGGTGATGAACAATACTGATGTGGCCCCTACCATGGCCCCTGCCATCCTGGAGAGACCAACAACAGATACAGGCACAGTGTAATGGGGGCATGGGGCTGCTCCTGGAGCAGGGACACTTGGCCCAGGTGGTGGGTTGGAGATAGCTTCCTGAAAGTAGTGGAAGTGCATCAAGTTAGGGGCAGGGTGTTGACCCGGCCAAGAGAGGGTAGCGGGGCAGGCAGTCCAGCAAGAGGGAAGAGTACAGGCACTGTCCCCTGTTGGGAGGGAGCTCAACCAGCCAGAAGCTTCTAGAAAGTTAGGGCTGCTGAAGCAGAGCAAGGCACTGCAGAGACAGTGCAACAGAATTAAATCTTGACCCCAAGGGTAGGAAGGGTCTGAATCCCTGCTGGCAGGGGAGGTGGTGGGCAGGTCTAGGCCCACCTGGCTAGACTGTGGGAACCTGGCTGGGGTCGAGACCTTCATTCTCAAACCGGCTGCCTTTTTTTTCTTTTTTCCATTTTTCCTCCTATTGAGGTAGAAGTTCCATTAACTATATCAAAGTGAACAATTCAGTGGCATTTATGATGTTCACAGAGTTGTGCATTTGTCACCTTGATAGTTCTGAAGCGATTTTATCACCTCAGGGAAACCTCTTACTCCTGAACTCCCTCCCCAGCCCTCCTCCCCAGCCACCGCTGATCTGCTGTCTCTGTACAGGTGTCCTGTCTGGACGTTCCATGTCAATGGAGTCACGTGTATGTGGCCTTTTTTAGGGCTCATCCTTGCTGCAGCAGGTGGCTGAGTAATGCTCCATTGTATAGGTAGACCACATTTTGTTTACCTGTTCTTCAACTAATGGACATTGGCCACTTTTTGATAAATTAGTGTTTTTAAAATATTATTATTAGCAACAAACCCTTTAAAAAAATCAGAAGCTCAGTCAATCCATAATCCTGCTTAAAGAGGCACCATGCTCCAGAGCGTGAGCCCGGCCTTTCAGTGACCCTGCTTCCTTTGACAATATCCAAGGGTGATTGGTAAGGAACTTTCCAGGGCTCCCTGGATGGTTACAGGCTAAGTTCCAACTTCCTATAGATGAGGGATTCTTAATCAGGGGCTGAGGGGATCCAGCTGGGCTTTAAGAAAGCTGGGGACAGATGAGGGGAGACAAGGCAGTAGAAGCAGAGAAAAGAAGCTGGGCAAGGTTGAGGGACCAGGAGGGGCCTTTCCTTTAGGCAGCCTCTACCCAGTCCTGGCTAGAGTGGGCAAGGCAGGGGGCTGGGCCAGGGCTCAGCCACTCCCAGGCTCAGTGGGACCTTCCAGGGCCTCTGTGCCCTTGAGCCCTCACKCCACACCAGCCTGTGAACTGGTGGTCTCCTTGTCCTGGGGTGTTTCTCATCCTCAACTAAAATGCAGGCTCCCGAGAAATCGCTCCTGCTGTGCCTGACCGGGGGAGTGTAGAGTGGTTCGGGCTTTGTAGAAAACACTCAGGGAGTTCCTCAAAATGTTAAGTACAGTTACAGGATCCAGAAGTTCTACAGATGCCTATCTAAGAGGAAGGAAAACACGTTCACACAAATATGAACTCAGTCGTCCACCCTGGCACCGTCCGCATCTGCCCCAAAGCAGAAACTGTCCAGATGTCCAGCAGACGGGTGGGTGAGCAAAGTGCAGCCCATCCACACCGGGAACATTATAGGGCCATGAAAAGGAAAGAGACTGATGCCTGTTACAACACAGGCAAGCCCCGTGAAAGGCAGACGCAAGAGGCTGCGATTGTGGGATTCCCTTTACAAGGAACGTCCAGAAGAGCTGGTCTGCACCCACACCGAAAGGGCTGGGGGTCGGGGCCCGGAGTGGCTGTTGCCGGGTTTGGCCTTCCCTCCTTCTCTCCCTGCATTGCCAGGCAGCGCTCCACCTCTGAGCTACACCCCAGGCTTGTATGTGTTTTTTTGAGGTAATCTAAACTTTTCCAAAATTAGATAATGGTGATGTGAAAATACTAAAAGCCACTGAATTGTATACACTCGCCCCTCCATAGCTGCGAGTTCCACGTCTGTGAATTTAAACATGTATCAGACATGTTCAGAGAAAGTGGTTGCTTCTGTATTGAACATAGTCCAGACTTTCCCCTCGTCCTTTCCTGAGCGGTATGGTGAGATCAGTATTTACGTAGCATTTCCATTCTGTTAGGTGTAAGTCATCCAGAGATGGTTTAAAGCCTACCAAGAGGGTGTGTGTAGATGTGCAAACGCCGAGCTGTTTTATGTGAGGGGGTTTGAGCATCCACAGCATTCCGGAGCTGGTGTGGGGCGTGTTCTGAGCTGATGCTCCTGGGCTTTAAAATGGTGAATTAAGGCATGTGAATTATATTTCAGTTTTAAAAAAGCACCCTCCCCCACGCCACCCCCAGAGCAGTCCTGGGGAAACATGGTTGGTTTGTCACTGGGGCAGTCACACCTGGCCTTCCCTGAAAAGAAGGGCTTGAAGATGAGACAGGTTGATGGGCTGGGAGGACCACCTAGCAACAGCTCAGGTGAGACAGATGGTGCCAGGTGTGCCCCAAGGGACAYGCAGGCCAGCTGTCCTGGAGCTTGGGGTCCGTGGGATCAGGTAGGCTGGGATTAGATAATGACAGGCTTTGCATGTTAGACCAAGGAGTCTGGACTTGAACTTGGCCTCCAGGAACCGGGGAGTGGACCCATGGGACATGGGCATGGATCTGGCTGGTGTATGTTGGGGGCCGCCACAAAGGCCTGCCGTCCGTGGAGAGCTGAGAGAGCTGATGGGGGCCTGGGAGAAGGAAGGGAAAGGTTGTTGCCTGAAATCTCCCCACGTAACTGAGCAGTCACCTGCCACCTCCTCTCCCTCTTCAGATCCTGGTGAAGACCATGATTCGGAAACGCTCCTTCGGGAACCCATTTGAGGGCAGCCGGCGGGAGGAGCGCTCGCAGTCTGCCCCTGGGAACCTGCTCCTGTGAGTGTCCAYGGCCTTCCTCTCAGGGTGGGGGCTGGAGGGTAGGCCTGGGTATCCCTGAAGCAAAATCAAAGGCCAGGAGACCCGCCCTGCACACTGTGCTCCCTGCCTTGGGTCTCCTCCCGTTGCTCAGCCCACAGCCTTGTGTTGGGAGCTCCTCCAGACTGAGGTCTGGCCTTTTCACTGGGGGTCTCCTGATAACCAGCACCCCTGCCCTGAAGCACAGTCCCAGAGGGTGGGGTTTTAGGCTGTGTAATGGTGAGCACTGGGCCTTGCCCTGGGGCTCTGCGTCTTAATGCAGAGAGCTGTCTGCTCACCTGCTTGGCACTGGCCATGTGAAGTAGGCGTTGGGGTCTGCTGTCCCTGGGGCGGGGGGTGGTATCCCCGTGGCCCCTTCTCACTTCCCTTTTCCCTCCCTCTGGCAATTCCAGCAAAAAAACAACCAGGGAGTGGGAGCCCCAGTCTGAGCCCAAGGTAACGCCTGCCTGCCTGTGCGTAGCCTCTGCGGGGGCCTGGGGGGGGCAGGTGCAGAGCACGGGGGAGTCTCCTCCAGGCCATTTTCCTTCCAGCCTGGCTGCTGTGCTCAGCCTCACTTTGGGCCTCTAGACTTGGGGATAAAACTAGGGGCCTCGAGGGGCTTGGGCCCATTGGCGGGTCCTGCATGTGGGCTGGGGCTGCGGGTGCATGGCGCTCCGCCCGGAATGCCCGTGAACTCACCCTGGTCTTTAGACCCAGTCCCTGCATACTCAGTGCACGGCAATGGCCTTGAAGCTCTGTCACAGGCCCAGGGCTGCCGCTACTGAGCGCAATGGTTAGAGCACACGTCAGGCCTGCTACGCCCTGTGACTTGTCTGCTGGCTTAAGATCTAGAAAATAAGTCCCCTCTGCCTGTTGCAAAGGGGCATAAGAATCCTGTGGCCTGAGTAGGAGCTCAGCCTTTTCCTCTCCGGGATGGCCGACCCTCCTCCAAACACACTTCCATGCCAATGTTACTAGCATCTTCCAGGACAAATGAGAATTCTTGTCCCTAGAAGACTGGAAGCTTTGATTGGCAGAACCACTGCTCGTTCCCCAAGTACCTGCAGCACCGTGGAGACCCCAGTGTCGTTCCCACAGGCTTGATGTGGCCACCTGATTCTCCACTGGCAGCTCCAAGCAGTTAAAAATAGCTTCATTGGGGCTGGGGGTGCAGCTCAGCGGTAGGACCCCTGCTCAGCATGTGCAAGGCCCTGGGTTCAATCCCCAGAATACACACACACACACACACACACACACACACACACACGTATATAGTTCAATGACTTTGACTGTATTGACACTTATGCAGCCATCACCACAATCAATTTTTATGAGCCCAAGAAGAAGAAACCCTGTACCTCTGAGCTGTCTACACCCAACTCCCTCATTTCTCAGCAACTGCTAATCTACTTGCAGTTTTCTATGGATTTGCCTGTTCTGGACATTTTCTATAAATGCTTTTGAGTCTGTTTTTGTTTTGTTTTGTTTTGGTTTTGTTTTTTTTGGTATTGGGGAACGAACCCAGGGCCTCACACAAGCTGGGCAAGCACTTCTTCACCACTGAGCTGCTGTCCCTGGGACGGGGGGTGGTATCCCAGTGGCCCCTTCTCACTTCCCTTTTCCCTCCCTCTGGCAATTCCACCTAAAAAACAACCAGGGAGTGGGAGCCCCTGTCTAAGCCCAAGGTAACACCCGCCTGCCTGTGCGTAGACTCTTTTTATTTTTTTCCCCATTTTTTAAAAATATTTTTTTAGTTGTTGATGAACCTTTGTTTTATTTATTTATATGTGGTGCTGAGAATCAAACCCAGTGCTTCATACATGCTAGGCAAGTGCTCTACCACTGAGCTACAAAACCAGCCCCATTCTCTGCTTTTTAAATTTTATTTTGAGACAGGGTCTTGCTAAGTTGCTGGCCTCAGACTTGGGATCCACCTTCCTCAGCCTCCTGAGTAGCTGGGGTTACAGGTCACACTGCCATTCCTGGCTGTGTCTGGCTTCTTTCACTTAACCTCATGTTTCTTAGGTTCCTCCCTGGTGTAGCATGGATCAGTGCTTCAATTCTTTTTATGACTGAATAATATTCCACTGTTTGGATGGAGCATATTTTGTTTATCTATTCATCAATTGATGGACATTGTTTCTATTTTTTAGTTGTTAAAAGTGAACAATGCTGCATGCAGTTGTATATAAGGGGGGAAGTTGACTTATGAGCCAGGTGCTTATGCAGTAATCTAGGAGGGGCCCTGCTTTGGAGATGTGCTTTTGAGACAAAAGCAGGGAAAACACATTGGCATTAGCAATCAGGTCCGACCTTCAGCAGCCCCAGAAGGCTGCCCGAGACCCTGTCTTGTTCCCAGATATCCCAGAAGCCCGGTGACTAGGCAGGCCTTTGGTTTGAGCCTCACAGTGTGATAGTAGAAGCCTAATAGGCTGACTTTTCCTTGGGCATTCTCTTCTTAGTCTCCCTCTTAGGGTCTGCCAAAAGTAAGGCTGCTTCCCCTCTGTGAGCAAGTCTGTTGTTTCCTTTTTGGGGGGGCCGGGATGTGGAGGGGACCAGGGTTTGAAGTCAGAGGCACTTAACCACTGAGCCATATCCCCAGCCCTTAAAATTTTATTTAGAGACAGGCTCTTGCTAAGTTGCTTAGGACTTTGCTAAGTTGCTGAGGCTGGCTTTGAGCTTTGGATCCTCCTGCCTCAGCCTCCTGAGCCACTGGGATTATAGGCGTGCGTCACCAAGCCTGGCTCTATTGTTTCTTTCTGTTTCAGTTCATAATTGCAAGATACCAACAGACTGAGATTAGCCCTTGGTGTTTTGCTGCTGCTTCATTTCCTCACCTCTGGTGCTAGAAACCCTGGGAGTTGCCTGCTGGCAGCTGTGGGCAGGACGTCTTGCTCTAGGAGCTTATAGAGCTGGGGGTCCTGGACCACGGGTTGCCTGCTGTCTGCAGTGAGACCCAGCTGGTGTCAGCAGGTGGCACGGAGGGCAGAAAGCAAGGGTCTCATCAGACAGCTAGTCACAGCTCTGTCCTCCCTGGGCACTTTACATCTTGTTCTTTGTCAGAAACAAGAAGCCAGCAAATGTGATTTTCCTAGGGATGCATAGGCACCGTGATTTCCCAGCCCCTGGGCAGGGACAGAGGCTCCCTTCTGGCCAGGGACACACAAGTCTTCGCTGGGAATGATGGACAGTAGCTTTGAGTGGCATGCTCACCTTGAGGATGCTGAGGGCCTTGGGCCCTTCCTTAGAGATTTCCCCTCCTACGACCTGAGACTCAACCCACAGCAGCTACACCAAGCAGCTCCAGTGAGGTGCGGGGCTCTTCAGGGACAGAAGGGCTCTTCCTCCCTCTTCTGAGAAGGGAGGGGCCATCTTTTCCCTCCCAGGTGGTCTTCCCTTGAGCCTGGGTATAGGGAACTAGGGCCAATGTTGTGGCCATTTCCAGAATGCCACTAGGTGCCAGTCCAAATTGGGCAGGCCCCGCCACTGCCCCACCAGGAGCTCACCATAGGGACTCACAGTTCCTGCCCTGCATGAGCTTTGGCCTCCTTGGGAGGGGGTGGTAAGATTATCAACCCTCGGGGACACCCCACAGAGGGGCCCAACTCCTGCTTGCATCTGCTGTAGTTTTATGTTTTGGGCAAGCATTGCTTCCCCATTTATGGAGGACGCATCTCCTTGGAAAAATTTAAGGGCAGGTGACGTGATCGCTTTGCAGGTGGTGCGAGGCAGCACGCCTGGGCGGTTGGTGTCCCGAGGTGGGCGATGGTCAGGGCCCTGCCATGGTTTCTCCAGGCCTTAACGCTGGTTTTCTGTTCGGTGAGCAGGAAGCAAGGCAGCGAAGACAGCCTCCAGGGCCCCGAGCCAGCCCCCGTGGGGGAGGAGGAAGTGCTCTTGTGAAAGGTGGTCCCTKCGTGGAAAGTTGGGGGGCCCCCGGCCCCAGCTCCCCCGCACATGTGCTTCCACAGCAGCCCGAGGAGGCACTGGAGCCGGAGTAGCTGCCTGGACGCTCGACCTCGCATGCCTGGCCATGTTGCCCTGCACGGGCTGCTGCACCCTGCGTTTCCATAGCAGCATGTCCTACGGAAACCGAGCACGTGTGTAGAGCCTTGACTGTCACCTCTGGTTATGTGTTTTTCCTTTATTGTTTTAAAGGGGACAAAAAAAAAAAAAAAAAAAGACTTGACTCCGTGACGTCGACCTTGGCCGCTGGCTGGCCGGACCGGCGGGTGTGAGAAATTGCAGACCAAACCCACGTGCGTTTTGGGATAATTGCTTTTTAAAAATGTTTTTATGCCAAAAATCCTTCAAAACCATGTCAGATATACCAAGGGAATGAATGTGTGCGGGGTTTGAACAGCGCAGAGGAATGAGCAGGAGACTCCAGCAGGACTGGGGCCAAGGAGCAGATGCTGCATTTGAGGAGTGGAAGGAAGGCTTCTCGCGACTCCTTCTGCAAACCCCGAATCGAGGCACCTTCCAGAACCGTGGATGAGCAGGGCTAGCTCTCAGTAGCTGCAGAGAGCATCAATGCAACTTATTTGCAAGAAGGACTTTTAAATTTTTTTATAGGTAGAACTGTAGTCAGGAAAACTGAAAGGGCTTGAAGTTTAATTGCTTTTTGAAGGGGATTTGCCAACCCTAGGAGCCTTCAGCAGCCGGGGTGGGGGAGAGGTTTGCCTGGAGGACTGAATGCKCGCCCTTACACCTGCCACTCAAAGTGGGTTTCTGGAAAGGTTGGCTGGGCTCCAGTAAATCTCTTTGTTTAGTTACAAAAACTTCAGGGTGAAATCCTACACTTCCATGTACATTACATGGCTTATGATTCAACACAAAAATATTTTCAATTGTCTAACTAGACTGAACTCTAGAGAAGTTCAGAGGTTATTTAGAGCTTCCAGGACACGCCACAGCTTCCCYGTGTGATCTGAGTGAGAGCCAATGAAATCTAATGCCTGTATATTAGCAGCTCTGCTTGTTTATGACCTGTGTATTCCTGAGCCTGCTGAGGTTCAGTTTGCATCTTAACCATTCACTCGCAGCAGTCAGCCAAACACTTTACCTGCTTTGTGGAGGGCTCTGAGGGAAATACTCTCACTTGGCTGAGACACGAATGATCATCCTTAGCATCAAAGCTTTGGTAGGGTCCACACAGTGACCTTGGATCACCCTTTTAGAGAAAGATTGTTGAAACTCAGAGTATTCCTTGAGATATGGAGGAACTGGGTGCTAGCACGGGATGTTCCCTTTTGTAGCTAGAAAATTTGATCTTTTGACTTCCAACCAAAAGAAACTTCCCAATGCTGAGATGTTTGGCTGAGGTTTGCATGTGACTCTGCTCAGAGCCACACACTGGTGAGTGTGAAGTTCAAGGGGGTGGGAAACTGGGAGGACTTTGTGCTGGGAGGACTTTGAGATCTGGTCCTGGGAGGTAAATTCAGTGCCGGGCCTTGGAAGACTGCTTTTTTTGTGGTTTCAGTTTGATAAGCCTTGGTTCAAGGACTTTGCACAGAGACAGAAGCAAAGCCTGTGTCCCCTCCCAGCCATTCACAAAGCCTGGGCATTCCTTGGCTTCCATAGATTTTCTTAAGCTCTTGATTGTAGTTTAGCCAGGTTTCGAGTGCTGTTGTAGAAGCAGTTAGAATTAGGGAATGCTGGTTCCAAAGAGCACAGACTCCGGTGTAAGGAGGGTCGTCTTGCCTGCTTGCTTTTGTCTTTGTAACCTAGTATTTGCGCTTGTCTCCCCACTGCTTTAAATTTAGGGGAAATGACCCAGTAGCTCCACCCCTTCTGGTAGCAGATGGGGTCTGGTGCGTTTGCAATAAGCACCTTGCAGTGGTTAAAGTCGCCAGTCCTTAGGCTTAGCCCCAGCCCGCGTGCACGGACTCTGCCTGGCTGAGTGGGGGAGGGCAGGCTGCATGCAGAGCTCTGCAGAACTCCTCTCGTGTTTACACGCCGCATCGGGCAATGCCATTTATCCCCACSATGAACTCGTCATCCCAGATGTCTTATGGGGAAGCCCAGTGGCCAGGTAGCACCTAGCCATTTGGGTGGGTGGGGTGGGGGAGGTCCACACCATAACTTTTATTTATTTAATTTTTAAAATAAACACCAAAGAAAGCTGTGGAAAGGAACCTCTCCTCATGGAAAGCATAAGTAGACATGGCTGTCACTAGGGCCACCACTCTTGGAGCACAAACGTGGAGTTTTTAAAAGCCAGCTTGGCCAGGAAAAGGGAGAAGCTGTCAGGAGCAGCTTTTTCCAGTGGGCAAAAAGGATGCCTGTGCTTCCTCGAGTTGCTGGCTCCTCTGGGACCAGTGTGGTGTGAGCCCTGCGGCCTGCACCTGTGGCCTGGGAGAAAGCACAAGCCTCCCACATGCTTTTCTTTTCCTCTGCCTGTTTCCACCTCCCCTGTCCATTCCAGAGGTGGCCAGTGGTCCCCAGAAACCTTATCGAGCCCCCTGTTGGCATTTGGGCCTGYGGAGGCCATTACTCTGGCCTTTCCATGGGGTGGAGCTCCTGTCCACAAAGCCTTTCTGGAACAAGGAGAACCCCTGCCCAGGGGGAGGCTGGGCCAGGCTGTGGCCCTCACCCGTCTTTCCGAGGGCAGCTTCACATTGCTGATTGTGGAACCAGGACCCCCACTTGCTTCCAAGGTGCTAGGGAAGGTCTCATAGTCACGGGTCCCATCTTTTCTTCAGCTTCATGGGCCGAGTCTCATGGGACTTTTGACTTTTCTATTCTGTGATCTCTTCGATGCCCGATGCTTCTGTTTTATTCCTGATCCTTTCTACTATGCATTTTCCTTTTATCAGGTGTACAAAGTTAAATACTGTGTATTTATCACAAGTACATGAACTTAAGAGAAAGATAAGCCTTTGGTGTTTTTCCACAAATGATTAAGCTTCTCTGTAAACTTGAAATAAAGAGACAGCAAAATGGTGCAAAGTTTGGGCCTCAGGGTTTTTTTTGTTTTGGGTTGGTTGTTTATTTTGTCCCTCTGTCCTTGTGTCTGCTCTCCTTCCCTAGGTGAACAGCAGGTTACATGTCCCAGTCAATGCTAATGTAGCCAGCAGACCCCTGATTTAGGGCATGTCCTCATATGCTGCTGCTCAGTGTGACTCCAGGACCAGCTGTGTCAACAGCACTTGAGAGCAGGGCAGAATGCACACGCCCAGGCCCCGCTTAAACACACTCACAGGTGACCCACCTGCAGGTTGAAGTTTGAGAAGCCCTGCTCTAGTGTACAGGTAAGGGCAAGATTCTGGCAGAGGCCAGACAGGTGAGTAGTTCCATCATGTGGAATGTGTCCTGTAGTCCAGGCCTGCTCTGTTACACTTCGCCCCAGGAGGTGGGTATTAAACTCATAATGAGGATCATCACCTGTGAGCTGAGGCTCAGAAAAGTTAAGTTGGTTGTCCAAGGGCTGGAATTTGTCAGCAAAGCCCCTGGTCTTTGGCGTCCTGAGTCTTGGTGCTTGCTGGTTCTGATGGCATCTGGATGCTCCTCCAGGCCAAAGGCAGAGGAGTCTCTGCATTTCAAGTGTGGCTCTAGTCCTTGGAGGTGCTCTCTTGGCTTTAAATTTCATTTTTCTGTTACTAGGGGACAGCAGGCAAAGTCTAACAAATCCCCATTCCACTGCTGCAGAAAAGCATTGAAATGCAGGCCTTCAAGACTCAGGAGCAAGGGGCTGCTATCCCAAGACCCCACTGCAAATCTGAGGGAAGGGAGGAGGGGTGCACACAGGTGCATCATGGAGCAGAGCTCCAGGGGCACAGAAGACTCCTGATGGCACCAGGGTGTGCCAGTGAGAAGGGACATGGTCAGAAGCAAGATGAGACTGGTGAGTGAAATCAGCAGTGCTGCCCAACACCCATCCCTCACCCCAACTGGCCTTTGCATTCCATTTCAGAAAAGAGAAGGTCAAATGCAGCCCCCCAATACAGAAGACCACTGCCATCACTCCTCAGCTGCAGGGTAATAGACAAACCATTTGTCTTGTCTGTTTGTGCTACTATAACAGAATGCCTGAGATGGGGTAATTTGCAAAGAACAGAAATGTTTTTCGGAAGTCTAAGATTAAGGCACTGGCTGGTTTGGGGTCTGGTGAGGGYTGCTCCCTGCTTCCATATGTGCCCAGAAGATGGAAGGGCTGCAAGGGGATGAGCTCCTCGTCAAGCCCTTTCTATATGGCACCTAGTTCCATTTATGAGGACTATGACCCAGTCTCCCTCCCAGTCCTGTTGCACTGGGGACTCAGTTTCCAACACATGAGTTTTTTGGGACACATTTAGATCATATCATGATTCCTAAAGATTCTAGCTCACTTTTTTTTGGAGGGGGGTACTGGGGATTGTTGGACTCAGGAACGCTTTACCACTGAGCCACATCCCCAGTGCCAAATGAGCATTTTAAAAAAGGCCACATGAATCAGCTCCTCACCCCCTTGGTACTGTAGAGTGACCCAACCATGCTGTGCCACTGAGTTACAACCCCAGCCCTTTATTTTGGACAGGGTCTCACTAAGTTTCTGAGACTGGCCTCAAATTTGCCACCCCCTGCCCCAGCCTCCTGAGTTGCTGGGATTACAGGCGGGTGCCACCACACCTGGCCTAAACCACGACATTGTTGAAAAGTATTTAGCAACCCCCACCCCCAAAGAAAAGTCCAGGTGGATCATTTTTTTCCCGCTGAAGCAGAGTACTTCTAAAGTATTCCCCAGAGTAGTTGGAAATGAAGTGATTCATGGGGAAGGGGAGAGGCAGGCTGCCCCCCTTGGAGGAATCCTGAACCCCTGATGCAGAATCAAGCACGAAGTTGAAGTTACAGCTGGAAGTAGCTCCGTTGCCATGTCACACGTGCACCGAGAGGTGCAGGTGATCCTGCTTTGGGTTGGAGGCTTGGGAAGAAAACAGAAGGGGATGAGCCACTTCCATGTTCCCTAAAACTGTGCCACCTACAGTGTATTACTGCCATCTTATGTAAAAAATGCCAACACAGGTGAGATGCCACTAGGAAAAAAAAAAAAAAAAACTTAGTGAAGATCAAAACGCTTAATTAGGCTTTAAGAGAAAAGCCAGGCAGGGGAAATGCCTGAGTTGCAGAGACGATTGTTTCAAGAGACCTTTCCTGAGGACAGAGCTGGACAACAAATGGGTTTACTTGAAATTGTCAACCTGAAATACCAGCAGAGGGGTTTATTCAGGAGTCACTGCAACCCAGGCTATGTGTGCCATGGCCTTGGGGGGGCTGGGGGGCTGAGGCCCAGGGGAGCAAGACTAAAAAGGAGAAGTGCAGGCAAGATGTTTCCAAACAGAAGTTGTTTGGTGGCAGGGGCTTATCGCAGACTGTGACGTGTGTGCAGCCGTTGCCAGGAGGGTTCTTTGGAGAGGCGAGCTGTGAGGCTGCCATTAGGGCTGGCCGTTCCAGGAAGTGGCCTTCGCTGCAAGGTTGCATGTGGGCAGAACCGACGGTAACTGTTCTTGTCATCAGGCAAATATGTGGGCACCTTCCCCCCATCCCATATTAACTTCCCTGAAGTAAGAGAAGGAAGGAGAGCTCTAGCCCATGCTAGGAGACAGCATGCGAGGAGTAAGAAAAACCACTTGTTTTAATGTTTGATCTTCAACCATCTCTTCACAGCTGTTCTCAGAGGAAGAGAGCCAACTCTGTACCACGGTTGCAAGGACAATGTTCCTGGTTTGGGGGAGAGGAGCAGCAGCCTGGGCCTGTTAAAGTCTAGGGAGCACGAGCCTAGAGGCTTTCTTTTCCTTACAAAGTGCCTGAACGGTGTTGTCTTGGCTCACAGGATTGGCCCCGTCTGCGAGGGCTGGAGACTGCAGCTTCTGGGGAAAGCTGGCCCCAGGGCCTGCAGAAGGCCCCAGCAACTCGCCCCAGCCAACAACACACTGGTTGGTAATCCACTGTGCCCAGGGGACAAATGAACCCCCACACACAGAATGTAGGAGCTACCAGGCAACCCTGAGTACTTATGGAGAGTGAATCAGAATCTGGAATGTTCTCTGGGGTGACATAGCAGCCATTTCTCCCTCCTTCTCATTGTGCTTGATGAGGGCTTTGGGGAGCCCGGGTGTCGGGTAGGCATCATTGGCCTGTCTCACCACCAAGACCCTGCAAAGAGGGATAAGGAGGTCAGTGTCCACCCACCTGTCACTGCCCCTGGACCATCTGAGGCAGGCAGGAATAGGGAGCTTTTCCTGAGGGCTTCTGGACAGCCCTTCACAAGAGGACTCCAGCTGGTTCTAGAATGGGGTACCTAACCCTTCTTGTTAAGCAGGGTGAATTTACCATGAGGATGTAGGTGGTCCCATTATCATGACTAACTCAAGAGATCRCTAATCGAAACCAGAGTAGGTTCTGAAGAGTCTGAAGTAAATACTAGAACAGGTGGTCCAGAGACAGAGCAGGCGTCGAGGCTGGCATCTGACTGCCAGCCTGAGGCGATGAGTTGTCAGCTGCCAGAGCAGCACCAGCCTCTGTCCAATGGCCATACCAGGCGGCCCAGGACCCGGGCTTCCCTCCCCAGGACAAGAGGCTCCCTGCCTGCAGGGAGCACAGGAGGTGCCCACCTGCTCGTAATCTTCCACGTATTTGTACTTCTTCTCCCGATAGTAGTATCTCTTCTTCATGCAATACAGGACTATGACRTCACACAGCACTGTCGCCTGCACATAGCAAGGGTAGAGAGGATGAGCCCAGTGCTTTAGCTCCTGCTGCTCTGTGTGTGCACTTCCCCCTGAAGTCTGGAATCTCTTACAGGAAGGAAAAGCACCTTCATCTCTGGGGGTGAAGTTCGGCCCAGCCCGGAGGGAGGAGGGACGGTGGGGGTGGGCAAGGAAAGAAGCCTGGAGGCTCTAGACTAGAAAGTGCTGCTGACTGCTGGGGAGGCCCAACCACTCACCACGCCCAGCAGCGCCAGGCCGGAGCCGATGTTGATCATGGTAGGAATGATGTCAAACTTCCCAGCCTGCATGTGACAGGAGAAGAAGAGGAAAAGCTCTGACGGGTAGGGGAGAGCAGATGCAAGGTAGAAAGACACCCCTGTCCTTGCGGGGTCCCCACAACAGCCAACAGGGAGTTGGCGGCAGGCCTACCTTCCCAAACACGATGATGTCGAAGCGGATACCATATGCCTTAATGAGTGTGCGCTGCTCCACGCCAGTGAGGTCCCGGTAGTACTTGGCAAACCTGTGGGCATAGGGCAGGTCAGAGGGAAAGGGCACAGGGTCCCGGGAGAGGGATGTTAGAGCAGGATGCAGTGAGTCCCTTACAGAGGGAGGGTGCTGGAGGCACAGGTAGACCCCTCTCTGTCTTCACCCTCTCCTTCCACAAGGTAGCATAAGCCTGAATATCCTTGCTCTCAGTGTCCTTCCTGATACATCTGACCTCCCTACCTCTCTCAAGGGGACTTGGCCACTAACTGAGAATGTGGCCAGCCAGCAGCAATCTCCAAGACTGCATTGTGTGGTCACAAAACTTAGCATCACCTTTAAAAAGTAAAAAGAACTAAGAACCACTGATCCATCAACAGATGAAGAGGGAAATGAAATGTGGTCCATCCACACAATGGAATATTATTTGGCCATAACAAGAGGTGAAGCTTTATTATCTGCTACAACATGAATGAACCTTGAAGACATGAAGCAAAATGAAAGAAGCCAGTCATGAAGAGACACATGGTGTATGAGTCCATTAACAGAGGAGTCCAGATCTGCAAAGCCACAAAGTAGACAGGTAGTTGCCTATGTCTGCGGGGTGGGAGGGGTGACAGCTAGAGGGATCGGGGTTTCTGAGTTGAAGATGATGTTCTAAAACTGACTGGTTGAACATATGTGTAAATATATAAAAATTACTGGATTCTAGACTTTAATGGGTGATTGCTCACAGAGTAGTCTTAATTCAGCCATAAAATTCAAAGATACAAATGAAACAGAAAACCAGCAAGGAATGGTGGAGGGGAGAATCACTGAGAGTGGTCCCATTCCTCCAGGAGCCGAGGCCTAAACCTGAGGCCTGGGATCTGGCTGGTTTATGGCTTCCATGTTGAGGTCCGGGGCTGGTAGACTCAGCAGGGCTGGTATTGGCAGAGGCTCCACCAGCTGCTCTCTGCTTTAGGGTTCTGATCCAAGCTTGTGGTTTCTACAAGAACTGTGTGCTGGTAGAGAGAGCAACATAAACCTAACTCCTAGGGAAGAGTTCAAATACCTTCCCTGCCATCCACCAGGGAGTGGGATGGTTCAAAGGGACTGTGGATCTGCAGAGATTCTGACAATGCGATGCGCATTTGATACCACATGCCACCACTAGAGGGAGACAAGAGCAACAAAAAAACTTCTGATCCATTCCAGTGTTCCTTGCAGGGCCTGGTTTTAGGAGCAAGTGCGTTTGGGGAAAATTCCTTAAGGAGCATATGAAAAAGTACACAGCTACAGATTTTGCTGCCTCGAGGAAATGGAAAATACGCTCCTGGCCCTCTTATCAGATAACTAGCTGCACTGGATTAAATAGTGCCTCCCTGAAAATTCATGTCACCCGGAACCTATGGATGTGACTGTAAATAACTAACTGGAAATAGGGTCTTGGAGGTGCAATTAGTAAAGATCAGGTCATACTTGATTCAGGTGGGCCCTAAATTTGATATGACTACTGTTCTCACGAGAAGACACACAGAAACATGCATGGAGGGAAGAAGGCCACGTGAAGACAGACAGAAGCAACACATTTGTAGGCCAAGGATTGCTGAGGGCCATCAGAGGCTGGAAGAGATGGGGAGGATCCTGCCTAGAGCCTTGGGAGTGGGGGGCTGGCCCTGCAGACACCTTCATTTTTGACTTCTGGCCTCCAGAACCTAGAGAACACATCTCTGTCAAGGCAGTCAGCTCTGTTACTCCAGCCCAGAGAAACTACTGTGACAGCATTTTCATCAGGAGATACAAGCAAAGGCCTTTCTTGGGCCTAAAACCTGCACCCACTGCACCCTCGAGAGCCTGGGGCAGGCTCAACCTGAGAGCAAGACCCTGCTTTGAGCGCTCTCCCAAGCACATGCCTTCCTGCACAGCCTGCCCTGGGGTGCTGCCGGTGTGCTAGTCTTTGGAGGCACAGATGCCCCCACGGAGGAATAACTCATCCATCAGCCCCCCTTCATAGTGAGTGACGGTCTAAGCTCATGCCCACCTGAAATTGTAGCCAGGAGACACATTGTGGTCAAGGTCCCGGGTATCGAGGCGGCGGAAAGAATACCTGGGCAGGCAGAGGGAGGCAGCTCTGTCCAGGTTGCAGTCCCAGTTGATCTGGATGCCCATGATGCCTCCCTGTGGGACAGAAGCAGACACACCCAGGCTCTCGTCAGAGCCGGCTTGGATACGAGAAATGTCCAGGACTGTGAGAAGCCAGGGCCTGCACCTACCTCGACAGCCATATCCTGGAAGCTGTGCCCTGCGTTCTCCACGATTTTGCCAAGACGGAATATGGGGCAGAAGGGATCTGTCTTGGCATCATAAATGCATGATTTGAGGTAGGTGGTGGTGGTGTTGGGAAGAATGTTCCTCCTAGAGCCAGAAGGAAGCAGAAATCCATTGTGAGGAAAACCCCGGAGAAGGACCAGAAGTTTCTCCAAGATACTGGTGAACTCACACAGCGGCCACCACTTACTTGCTGAAATTAAATTTGGGATACCAGATGTTGTTCTTAACCAAAAGAGTGAAGTTTTCTGCAGCCTTTAAAAAAGCAGGCCTGAAAAAAAAAAAGAAGGCAACATACTGTTACTAGAAGTAAAAAATAAAATGCATTTAGATAGCTATGTAATATTTCTAACACACAGACAAGATTTACAGTGTCACTTTGTCAAAGCAAAAGTGAGGTGCAGCATTTCCAGCATTTTCTGTTCTCTTCTGCAGAAGCACTAGGTCTAGAGCTGAGTCTAAGCTGGCCTTCTGGATCCTTCCCCTGGGAGGCCGATGGAGAACCTGAGGGACTGAGAAGCGGGCTGCTGTCTCACAGCCTCCCTGGAAATCATTCCTGGCCGCTGCCAGTTTCAGGCTCACTCTGGGGAAGGGATGCTAGAAAGATGGGACTTTACAGGTCACAGAACAGGTGAGTTCACCTGCAGGCTGCGTCCTRGCCTCACCTGAAAAGTACACAAGTACTGCCCCCCCACCCCGCCGGCACACCTGCCTCCTCCCAATGGTGCCACCTGGACTCCCAGCTGACTACCAGGTGAACCTGTCCCAAGGGGACTCTGTTTCTTTGGTGGATTTGTCTATGGGAGAATCTGGCACCGCAAGGCTAAGTCCTCTGTGGAGGGGCTGGGGCAGCTCCCTGAGCCAGGTGTAAATTGCAGAGCTACAAGTGACATCAGTGGTCTTTTCAGTGGAGGGACAGGAGCAAGGCCATTGACAAGGCTGCTGAGTCCCCACTGCCAAGGAAAGGCCTTGAGCAATGCACATCCCTCRGGCTCCATGTCCCCATTCCCTCAAGAGGCAGGGATTCTGCAGAGCTTTGCAAACATCTGCCATTTTCCATTTCAAAGCTTTTGCAGCTACATCTTTGCACCCTGTCTGCAATACTTAAGATCAACTCACCTTTTAAAACAAAGTCGATGTGGAATTCACGACATAAAATTCACTATTTAAGAATCAATCAATTCAGTGGCATTTAGTGCATCTGCAATGTTGGGAAACCGTCACCTCTATCTAGTTCCAGAACATTTGCATCACCCTAGAGGACCTGCACATCCACCAGGGAGTTAGTGCCTTGAGACCCCACTCTGCTATCTCTACTGATCTGTCTATTCTGGGTATTTCATATGAATAGAATCAAATAACATACGGCCTTTGTGTCTGTTTTCTTTTACTCAGTGATGTTTTAAAGATTCACCCAGGTTGTAAGGGGGTGTCGGTGCTTCATTCCTTTTTATGAGGCTGAGTAATATTTTATGCTATGCACACACCAAAATTTGTTTATGCATTCTTCTGCTGATAGGCATTTGGGTTGATTCCACCTTTAAGACTAACTCATTTTTTTTATTGATATTTACTTTGAAATGAAACTTTCCCTCATGACCATAAAAATATCACTTGTGCTGGGTGTGGTGGCATGTGCCTGTAATCCCAGCTTCTTGGGAGGGTTAGGCAGGAGGATCACAAGTTTGAAACCAGTTTGGGCAATTCAGCAAGACCATGTCTCAAGATTTTAAAAAAATCTTTTAAAAAGGGCTGGGGATGTAGAACACTTGCCTACCATGCATGAGGTCCTGGGCTCAATCCCCAGCACTGCACACATACAAAAATCACTCACATCAGGTCAGAGGTCATTGTTTAAATAAATATAATGAAATAAAAACAATGTTACTAAAACATGTAGTTAATATGACAGGTAATAAAGACACTCCACCCAAAATGGAAATAGGAATATCTTTCTCATCATGTGACTCAATGCAATTTCTTGCATCGGTTTGCTTTTAAAAATCATCTCACACGGACTTAGATCTACTATACCCCTATCCAATATAAATGTACTGTGAGGCACACTACAAGCCACATTATAATGAAAAGTTTCCTAGTACCCACATTTAAAAATAAAAATGGCAACATTAATTTTATATAAAAACCCAAAATATCCACAATATTACTTCTGCATGTAACCAATATATTAAGTACATATTATATTCTTTTTTTTTTCATAATTAATTTCAGACCCTACAGTGTACTTCACACCAACAGAAGACCCAGCCACATTTCAAGTACTCAGCAGCCACACTTGGCCAGTGGCTCCCCTGCTGGAGAGCACAGCTCTGGGAGATCTTTCTGACTCTGAAAAGCTAGGATTCCCTTCCTTTCAGTGTTGCACTCGTTAGTCCACATCAGCAGTCTCCATGTTTTCTTCTACGCCCAGGATGAGCTGCAGAAGCTCCCTGCTCCCCTGGCCTTCAGTCTGATCTCTGGATGACAAAGCCCCAGGCAACAGGAATTCTCAAGGGAAGGTCTTAGACTCCACCCGTTCAAACTACAGCAAATTGCAACTGGGAAGGATGTTATCCTAGGGCAACCCCCAACCTGCTCTGGTTTATAGAATACCCTCTGGCAGATTTTTATTATTTTCCTGTCCCCCCTTTTCCGGTAATGGAACCCCAGATTTCCTTTGGAAGTCACACTTCCCCTACTCTCAGCCTGGGTCATTTGGGTGAGGCTGACTCTAGCCCGAACTCTAGAGGTGGACATGTGACCCAGGCATGCTGAGAAACAAACTGTCCCCCAGCCACGGTGACAGATCAAGGGATGTAGCCCAGAACGTGATTATGGACAGGTCTAGACTCCGCACAGCTAGGAAGGAGGTCCCCCTGGGATTATGCTAGGGGTCCAACAAATGAACCTGACATGGAAAGAGACAGAGGCTGGATGTGGGACAGACGGTCTCTGAGCCTCAGATTGAGCCCTGCTAGGTCTTTTAGGCTAGCTGAATGATGAAGTACCCCTGATCTGTGTGTGTGTGAGTGTGTGTGTGTGTGTGTGTGTGTGTGTGTGTGTATACACACCCATGATAAAGCACTGAGATCTGTCTCTTCTCAGTTATTTGCAACTAACGGAGTCCTAACATACAATAAGTCAAACTGCACCCTTATCATAAGTGACCACTTGGGGCTCACCTCACCACTGAAGGTTGATGCTCTGTGGTTAAGGAGCGCTGTCCCAGACACCAAGAGCACACAGATGGCCCCCAAACCTTCCCTGCCGCCTCCCTCAAGGTGTAGAACCAGGGTTGGGGGCGCTCTCAGGCAGAACTCACTTTGGCACATGTGTGTCATCCTCCACCGGGCACCAGGCTGCCACCTCACAGGTCTTCACTGACCCATTGAACGGCACGCATCTTCCAGTCTTGACTCCTGTGGGGGAGGATGGGGAGCCAGGCCTACAGGGGGCTATTTCCTCCCTTTGTGAGGTAGGGAGTAAGCCCCTCATAACATCCTATGTAGCCAGTCTGGAACAATTCTAATTCTGGGACTTAGGGTGTCCAGAAATTGGAACTGGAAGGTGGTTGCCTTAGTGCTGGCCACATCTCTGCTTTGCAATCTCAGGACCAAAGTGATACCAAGTCACAGAATGCAGCAAGATCTGGGCTGGCTTCTGGGACTCAAATGACACAGGGTCCCTGGGCCTCCTCTGACATCAGGCTCACCCGGGGTTGCGTGGCATTGGAGAATGGTGGGGGGATCTTTTTCTGGTGCTGGGGATTGAATCCAGGGCCTCAGCCATGCTAAGCTCACCTCTACATCTGAGCTCCACCCCCAGTCCGCTGGGCATAGGGAGGATTTATTTATCCCTGAGAATTCTCTTTCAGAGATGCTGTGTGGAGACAGTGATCTTGTCAGGAGCTGCCTTCCTGGGGCTAAGCATCTGCTGAGGGGTCACTACTAACCATTCCTACCATTGCTGTGGATGTCGGCAGACCCAGAAGTGCAGTCCGTATCTGATTTGCACACAGTGGTCTTATCAGGAATCTAAACAAAGGAGATCGAGTGAAAACAATTTCCATGTGGTCCAGCCACTCACTCTGGGCTGTGGCGAGTGGAGTGTGAGGCCCAGGGCTTTCCCAAGGAGCCACCTACCTCAGGACAGATGCTCTGGGTCTGGTTCATGGTGATGATCATGTTGGTCATGATGAAGAGGGAGTTTTCCTCCTGCAGAGAGGGCGAGAGGGAGGGAGCCTTGTCAGATCACCCTCAGAGGAGTCGGGCTGGGACATTAAAAAAGCTAGGTATCTCCTTAATAGAATGATTTAAAAAAACGAATATTATGGTCTCCCATGAGAGTTTATAACCTAATGGGGACTCTAATGGGCACAGTGTATGCCTGTAATCCCAGTGACTTAGGAGGCTCAGGAAGGAGGATTGCAAGGTTTGAGGTCAGCCTTGGCAAATTAGCAAGACCCTATCTCAAAAAAAAGTAAAAAGGATGCCCCTGAGTTCAATCTCCAAGCCCTCCCACCCCTGCAAAAAAAGTTTAATTTTCCTGTTATGTGAATTTTACCTCAATTTTTAAAGAATCTACAATCTAAAACAGATCCTCAACAGATTTTGACTTATTAAAGGAAAAGAGCCAATAGTAGCTCAAAACTTGCTCTGTCAACCAATGACTTCTGAGGTATTAAAACACAAAGCCCCCAAGGCCTCAAACTTGACTTCTTTTTTTAGCAGGGAGGGTACCAGGGCACTCAACCACTGAGCCACATCCCCAGCCCATTTTTGTATTTTATTTAGAGACAGGGTCTCACTGAGTTGTTTAGCACCTTGCCATTGCTGAGGCTGGCTTTGAATTTGAGATCCTCCTGACTTATTTTCTTTTATAACTATAATTGAAAAGAAATAAAACATTCTAGAGAAGAAGTTCAGGGGCATTTCTGACATTTCTGTCCTTGACAAGGTTCTGTTTTCTCCTTGTAGATCTGGAGGTGCCAAAGCACTGGTCCAGTTTCTGGAAAGCCACTTGCTGGGGCTGATACTGAAGGGTTGCTAAGTACTGGCTGGGCTGTGGCTCAGTGGTCGAGCACTTGCCTTGTGTGTGCAAGTCCTGGGTCTATCCCCAGAACTGCCGCAAACAAAAATTGCTAATTATGATCTCCTAATATAAGGACCTAATATAAGGAATTAAAGATAAAGACCCCAGAAGGTTCTGGTTGGACCCCTCCCCTCCTCTGGGCACGGGCATTTTTTTTAAAGAGATGCCAGCAGCGTCCAGCATTTCATTTCATACTCCTGAAAAGAGCAGTGAGCTCTGGGAGCCGTCTCAGGGACCAAGGTCACTGTGGATACCCCCCAATATGTCAAGGTGGTAAAAGCTTTAGAAATGGTAGGTATCTTCCTGCAGAGACAAGGAAATGGCCACAAGAGGAGGCCCGAGGTGGGAGTCTCTCCTGATACCCGGTCATGTCCCCAAAGTGTCGAAGAGAAACACACTCCTGTCATAGGTTGAGGGAAGGCTGCTCCTGAGCCTCTCTGAGCTGGACTCCCAACAATTCAGTGTGGTCTACTTTTTGTTTCCTCTGATCTATTTCAAATTTAGGGAAACTTCAGTCTGAAGATGAGCTAAGTAGATGCAGTGGTTGGGTTCCCTCAATGGAGAAGCCCGAGGACACAGAGCAGAGAGCCCCATGGGCCTCACACAGCCCCAGCTCCCATGAGTGACAGGTGGCAGAGCTGCTGGGTGGTCCTTTCCACTCAGGGCAGAAGCAGGGCTCATTCTTTCCTTGCCCAGCAGACTGGGCAGGACAGTCCCACAGCTTGCCAGGATGAGGCCGTGCCTCCACAGAGAGCATGGACAGGTGTCCCCAGGACCACCCCGTTCCATTGCACCTTTAAAGCTCATCATCTCCGGCCTCTCTCTGGACCCCACCAGACCATTCTCTTGAGAAGGCAGGGGAATGGACACATTGGAGAGCTGCTGAAGCCTCTGCTTCCCTTTTTTAAATTGTGTACCAATTAAAAAAAGAGAGTTGGCAACTCATCTGAATTTGGCCACTGTGGGCACTGCACACATCAGCCATCTGGAGGGGTATGGTAGGGTTTGGCCATGTGGCACATAGCTAAAGAGTCAATATTTAACTTGCAGCTTGAGGCTAGGGATGTAGCTCAGTGGTGAAGTGTTTGCCTACTGAGGCCCTGGGTTCAAACCCCAACGCCTTAAAAAAAAAAAGACCAAAATATTAACTTGCAGCTTAATGGGCTGGAGACTAGAATGTCACCATCAGCTTCTCCCCTGACTTTGTTCCTGATGGAATCCTGTGCTGTCTCCTTTTGGTCTGCGGTTTGTCCTCTAACTGTGGTAGACACTGACAGAGACGATTGACCTTGTAGATGTAAGATAATAAAGCAAATGCAAAATGTGCGAAGGTGCTGTTTTCCCCGTGAACTTCTCCCAGGATTTAAGACGTTCGCTATCTTACCTTTTAGAGCTTGAGACAGACCAAGATGTCCACATGGAAGGACATCTGAGGCCAGCCACAGCTGAGGAGAGCCACAGCTGACTGAATGATACCCCTTAGACCTGAAGCCCAAAAGAGACATGGCTGTGCTGCTTTCTGGGGCTAAAACAACCGGTCTGGGTATCAGAGATGGTAGAACCCTGGGTACCAATCACTAAGCAGGCATGACAAGTTAGTACAGAGAAAGTGACACCTGGAGGCTTCAGTATCAGACAGGTCAGAGTAGGAGACCTACCTGAGCGGGAATCACATAATCAGCCACATCCCAGATCCGGAACCCAAGTGTAGAAGTATTGGTCACAGCCACGCCTTTGGCCTTGGTAGTCACTGAGCTGACCACGGAGTCCATTTCCTGGTAACCCTTTTCCCACACGAACACCCACCTATAAAATAACACAGGCCTCTTAAGTGGCCATTAGGATCCAGAGAATCTGAATGGATGCCAGGGAGCCTCTGACAGCCAGAGGCTGAAAGTACCACCATGTTTACTAATTGCGACTTTGAAAAGCTGCTTAACCTCTGGAGGCTCCACCTCCATTTGTGCAAGAGGGGAAAAGTGGCCCCTTTATTTATTTTGTGAGAAATAAATGAGATGGTGTAGGAAAAGCACCAGTATCACAGAGGAAAAGCTCGATGAATACTGTCTTTATTGGATATTTGAGCATTTTCAATACACTGGGGCCTAAGGGAATGACCAAGAGATGACACATTGTGATAGGAATAGTTTCCATTTGAGTGATTTTAGGATCAGGCACAGCTTTAAACTCATTTTATATGTATGAACTCATTTAATCCTGACCACTTCATGAGGCAAGTATCATTATTATATCATCTCCAATTTACAGAGGAGGGAATGGAGACACACAGGTGGCCAACCTGCCCTGAGCATCCATGTGTCAAACTAGAATTGAATGGGAGCTTTACTGCAGATGAATTTCTAGAAGTCCTGAAGAAGAGGACTCCTCAGGGTAAAAGCCCATCTCTAGGATGGGTAGTCCATCTGGAGACTGCTCTGATCAAACGAACCCACAAGTAACCCAAACTAGTGAATTCTGAAATCTTAGCATCTAGTACTTCTAAGGAAGGGAAGTGGATCCTAACACTTCTCCATTCTAGAAATAATAGTAATAATAGTCTGTGGCATATGTTTAGTAGCTCTGGTGGGGAGGAGTTTTGGTTGCTATAACGTTCCAGTGGTGGGTTGAAACAAACATTACTCTATGCATGTGACATACACTAGATCATTTAATTCTATAACAGTGGTGAAGCTCTATGACCATTTCCATATGATAGATGGGAAGAACTGAGTCCCAGAGTGGTTTAGCCACTTGGCCAAAGTTATGCCTAGTGAGCGGTAGAGCCAAGCTGAGCTGTGAACTGAGACTCTATTTCCAAAGTATGTTTTGGTGTCCTAACCGCAACCCACAAATGCTTTCGCATTTTTAATCACTCAAAATAACAGTAACCTTCTCATTTCAGAAAAGAGAATCATACATGTGACCTGAATTCTTGGGACAAAGAAACAAACTACTATAAAAAGTGCCTTGAGGGGCTGGGGCTTAGTGGTAGAGCACCTGCCTCACATGTGTGAGGCACTGGGTTCCATCCTCAGCACAACATAAAAATAAACAAATAAAATAAAGTTATTGTGGGAAAAAAAAAAGTACCTTGAAAGGTTAAGGTGGGATTCTCTTTTCTAGAGGGAGCACCATGGCTTAAGGGCTTCTGGTTCAAATTCAAATCCTGACTCTGCCACTCATCAGCTGTGTGACACTGGGTTATTTATGGGTTTATTTGATCTGAGGAATCTCCAAGTTCACTGCCCATCCTAGAGATGGGCTTTGCCCTTGACAAGTCCTCTTCTTTGGGGCTTTTAGAAATTCAGCTGCTGGAAAGCTCCCGTTCAATAGGAAGGTCATCATTATTTTACTACCAAGTACAGGGAGTTTCGAAATCAGAGACAGATTGTTTCATACCAGTCATTATCATGTGATTATTTCCTCATCATGTGACTGATAACTGAATTAGATGACTGGGGACTGTGGGTTCAGTCTCTATGAGGAATAGTTGTTTGGGAGAAGAGACCACAGTTTCACCAAGATTAACTAGATCAGGAAGTTTAAAAAGTTTTTTTTTTTTTAAAAGCCCATTCCTCAGAACAGAGTTGGCTCTGATTATAGCAAAATGTCTAAAAGCAAGGCACTGCTGCTTAAAAACCCTCATAATCAAGGCAGACAACACTCTCTAAGAACCCCACAGAACTGCACTACACTTGATCTTAGTCAAAAGGACAAGAAGCAATTAGAATTGCACTAGAAACATGAGGTGAATCCCATGTGTGATTTAAAAATTTCTAGAGGCCACATTAAAAAGTAGAAAGACACAGAAAAAAATAATTCTTAGGTAGCCCAATATGTCTAAAATATTTTAACAGTCATCAATTTCAAAAAGTATCAATGTGATATTTTACTTTTTCTTGTACTCTTCAAAATTCAGTGTATATTTTTACAGTTCCAGTGCATCTCAATTTGGAGTAGAAATGGATAAGTGTTCAATAGCCATCTGTGACTAGTGGCTTCTTTAAGGTGTAAGAATTTTACAAGTACCCAAAGGTAGAAGTGAACCGATCTTCTCATGAGAATAAAAGTTAAGACCTAAAAGCTGCCTAGAACTTCTGATCCCAAATTCTGCAGGAGTGCATCACAACCATTGTGGGGGAGATGCTGGTCATGTTGGAACTATTTCATCCCTAAGACTTAATGAGTCCAAACCCAGGTATAGCCCAGGAGGTTCTTATGTTGAGTCTCTACCTGGATTTTTTAACTTTTTAGGTGCTGGGGATGGAACCTAGGGCCTCATGCATGCTAAGCATGCACTTCACCACTGAACTGAACCCCAGCAAGACATACTCATGAACACTCAGTACCAGCTGATGCAGGGCTGATTGATGCTGGAAGCCAAAACTACCAGACTATGTGAATACCCCTGGGCAGGGTAAACAGATTCCAAACTTCATCCCAAGGTGGGGGAATCTGTTACTTTTCAAAAATTCCTCAGATGATCTTTCCTAATCAGGTAAATTTGCAAAACACCAGGTCACCCGATCACCAACTTTGCTGAACATAAGAACCAGCTGGGGAGTTGGCCATACTCTATAGCCGAATCTGAAGGTCTGGGATGAGAGTCATCAATCAATATTTTCTATAGATTCCCAAATGGTTCCAATGAGCAGTTTGAGGACCACTACTCTAGGCCTTTTAGGAAAGTGACCTAGTARATGTATCTGTCAACCCAGCATCTGTAGACACCATAATGCTCCACCTTGAAAGAGAGCCCAGCTGGTAAAGTAATTGCTACCTCCTCCCCTGGGTTGAATTACACTATAACAGGTGCATTCAATTAAATCAAACATTTAGCGAGGCTGCAGGGCATATATAAACACAAGCGGCTCAAGGGGGAATGACTATGCTAAAGCAGGTATCCACACCCTCCGCCCCAAACAATGCTGTAAAACAGTCACTGTCCTTTAAACACTTTTGGGAAGTGCGACCTTTCCACTATCTTGGGTTACCGCAAAGTGATCAAAGGAAAGGAGAGGAAGCCACAGACTCAGAAGGAACCAAATGGAAACCCCAAGCCTTGGTTTTGTCAGTGGGTCATCGGAATGGCAAGTGAAGAGAGGAAACTGAGACGTTTAGGGCAAAGTTCCCACAGCCCAGGGCCATCAAGGAGCAAGTTGAAAGGTAAACGTGCAAGGTGACGGTCTAGCCAGGCTTTCCCTTCAGCACCCTGAATCAAAGCAGCTTCCCGTCGCCGAGGCCCGGACAGAGCCCGTCTTGGTGGCCCGAGCACGGGTGTGTGCACGGCGCAAGTGGCCAGGGTGGGCAGGTGCACCGCGCGGGCCGAAGGGGGCGGGTGCCCGCGCGGCTCACGGTGCCGGGCCGCTGCCGGCCGTCGGGGACCCCCAGCCCCGGCCCCGCCGGCCCACCGCTCGCTCACCCGATGACGTAGGCCAGGATGAGCAGCTGCACACCGCGGTTCATGAGCCCCACTTTACGGCTGCGGATGAGCACGATGCGCGGCGTGTCGTACTCGAACAGGAAGGCCGCCAGCACCGCGCAGCAGCCCGCCATGGCCCCGGCCGCCGCCGCGCGCCCCGCCGCCTGGTCCCCGCGCCGGAGTCCCGCCCTGGAGGCCCTGCCGTCCGTCGTCGCGGGGGAGGGCCCGGAAGGAGGCGGCGCGGGCCCGGGGAGGCGTCACCGCCCCTCGGGGATGGAGGAAAGGGTTACCTCCCTCTCAGGGAGCAGTGACCGCAGGCGCGGGTGCAGGGGCGCGGTGACAGCCTCCAGCGTGGCGGGCGTGGGTAGTGACCCATGGGAAGGGCTCGATGGAATGAGAGTCCCTCCCCTGGAGGATGGGGCCAGCGAGAAGAGGGTCCTCTTTCTGGAAGGAGTCACCCCACAAGGGGGCTGAGGTCGGGTAGGGGCTGTTGGTCATACATGCCCTATCTAACATGGCGCCCAGGCAGCTTCTCTTCCTGTGTCTCCGTTTCTTGGCGCCAATTTTCAATCCCGCTGGCGGAAAACCCAGCCCAATAAGAACTAATTTCGTATGCTTTGGAACTGACATCTGGAAGAACTTACCAATAAACAAGCTCCCGTTTATCTAAGTCCTGCCTCTTATCCTTAGAGCTATATAAGCACATAGCCTTTTGAAACGAAGTGGAACTTCTCTGGTGATTTGTCTCCCCAAACCCTGGAGATGGGTGAGCTCATTTTAACAGAGCCCCATCTCCGGCTCCAGGAGACATCTCTTTCACCTTTTCAGGCGCTGGCTCTTTACACCCACCACTGATCCGGCTTAGGTAAGTTCCCCTCCTGGCTTGTCACCCTCCACGGGCTATAGCAAGAACCGGGACCCTGATCGTCTGGCACACTCCTGACGCCCAGATAGAGGGGAGAGAACCCACCCCACTAAGGCCTTTACAGCCGCAGTGGACTCTCTGAGGACTCTCTGACAACCCGTTTTCTTTTGGGGTGTGAGGCTTCTGGGTTCAGGTGAGAGACCTCTCTGTTTCTTCCTTCTCCTTCTGTAACCAGTAAATCCTAGTACTAGGTTCTTCGTGGCCTCCGGCTTTTGCCCCTGGAGAGCTGCAGTTTGGGTGTAGACCCTCACTGCCTCTCCTTTCTGACTCTTCCTAGAGTCTCCACGATCCCCAAGGTCTTAGAAGGGGACGCCCTTTTAGCCCTTGCTGATCGTTTTTCATCCTGAAGTCTCTCTCTTTCCCTATTGTTAGACCAGGACGCAAGAAAAGACCACTGACTCCAATTAAAATCAAATTAAAGCAAGCTTATAATTTCGACCTGCTGGGCTGCCTCTCCCTCCCGAAAGGGCGGGAACAAGACAGCCTCCCAGCTTTCCTGCAGCCCAGCTTTATAGCCCAGAAAGTTACACAAATGGGGGGTTACAGATAACAGAACTCTGACAAGCATCACACTAATGTTAGTTTACATTTTTTGCTGGCCCCAACATCAGAATTTATGAGGACCATTAGAACCTCAGAGAGGGTCATTGTCTGGCCAGGGAAGGCCAATATTTATGAGGTGTCAGTAAGTTTCAGAGAGGGCTGTTACCTGGTCAGAGAGCCAGGCATGGGTGAGTTCAAGGCACGGGCAGGCATTCCAAGCAGGTTCAGAATTTGCAGTAATTTATAGTAAAGCCGAAATTATCTTTTCATGGCTTTGTGGCAAGATGGCTCCCAATTTTAAGAAAAGATCAGGTTGGGTCTATCACTATCTCTGTCTCTCTCTCTTTCTCTCTCTTTCTCTCTCTCTCTCTCTCTCTGAACATGAGCACCTCCTCATCCATACCTGAAACCTCACTCCTCAAATGTCTCATAAAAAATCTGGCCACACTCTCTCTCACACCAGACATCAAGCCCAAACTCCTGATCAAATTCTGTACCCAAGACTGGCCTACATATCCTCTGGATAATGGCAATCATTGGCCTCTAGAAGGCTCATTAGATCCAAATCTTCTCTGGAACCTTTTTAACTACTGCCAGCATCTGAAAAAATGGAAGGCGATTCCCTACGTTGAAGGTTTTAGCCTTCTTGAATAGCACCCTGCTCTCTGCCTTTCCTGCTCTCCCTCTCAAGTTCTCCTTGCTCGAAAACCCCTCCCTTCCCTTACTTCCACTCCTGACCTAATGGACTCTTCCTCATTTGACCCGGCAGACGAACCCCCACTTTATCCCTCAGCCCCACCTGCTCCTCCTCTCCCAACATCCCCTCCTCCTCCTTCGTCTGATCCCATGGATCCTCAGCCTTCTGTTTCGTCCTCTTCCCCTTCCTCTTCTTCCTGTCCCTCGCCGACCGACTCTTTCAGCTCTCCTGTTACCAGGTCCAAGGGACCCCTTCCCACCCCCATGACAATAGCATCCCTTCATGAGGTTGCTGGCCCCGAGGGTGTTATCCAAGTACATGTGCCCTTCTCCATGTCGGACCTTATGCAGCTAGAAAGGAAGCTAGGCTCATTTACCACTGACCCCATCACTTACATTCAGGAATTTCAATGGGTTCTGCAAGCATATAGCCTCACTCATCACGACATTTACATGCTCCTGGCCTATACACTTCTCCCTGAGGAAAGGCGAGGGGTCTGGGAATTAGCCCAGGCCGATGAAAATCATAGAACCAATCTCAATCACCCTTCGGGCCCACACACTGTCCCAGAGCAGGATCCTCTATGGGATTACAACACCCCTGGAGGTTTGCATTCTCGTGACCTTTTTGCATCCTGCCTCTTGGTGGGCCTGAAGAAGGCTGCCAGCAAGGCCGTTAATTTTCAAAAGGTGCAGGAGGTTATTCAGAAGAAGGAAGAAACACCTTCAGAATTCTTGGATAGACTAACTAAGGCCCTCCAACAGTACACAAACCTCGACCCAGAAACCCCTGACGGTCGCCATGTCTTAATGACATATTTTCTGGCCGAAAGCTACCCTGACATTAAGGCCAAGCTTAAGAAGCTTGAACAGGGCCCTGCTACCCTTCAAACCAAAATCCTCACGGTCGCTTTCAAGCTTTTCCATGGGAGGGAAGATGAAAGTGAATGCCGCAGGCAGAAGGCTGAAAATGCCAAATTCCAAATGTTGGCCCAGGTCATTCAGGGAAGGCCATCACCACACCGTCCTAATAAGACRCCCCCTGGAGCTTGCTTCAAATGTGGTAAGGAGGGACATTGGGCCAAAGATTGTCCTTCGCCAAGGACACCCTCCACCCCCTGCCCAAAATGCCACCAAAGTGGACATTGGGAGTCAGACTGTCCAACAACCCGGAGGGGAGGCTGGTCAGCCGCCCTGCAACCCCAGCCTCTCCTAGGCTTGGCAGAGGAGGATTGACAGATCCCTGGGCCTTTCCTCCCAACTATAACCATCAAGAAGCAAGAGCCCAGGGTCACCTTCCTGGTGGATGGACGCTCCATTACCTTCCTCTTGGATACTGGTGCCACTTTTTCGGTCTTGAGGGAGTATTGGGGCCCTACCACGCCTTCAAAAACTCCTTTTGTCGGGGTAGGAGGTAAACAGATTTTCCCTCGAAAAACTCCTCCCTTATCATGCTATATGCAGGGATCCCTTTTATCCTTAACACACTCCTTTCTCATTATGACCCATTGCTCCATTCCCCTTCTGGGAAGGGACATACTCTCACTATTGAAGGTCACCATTCACATATCACCCTCACCTCCCCCGCCTCTCATTTCCTCATGATGATCCTAGGGACAGATACACATCCATCATGCACTTTCCCATGACTATCTAAACCAGTTAACTCCGAGGTTTGGGACACAACTACACCCTCTGTGGCTAAATGCAGTCCTATTCATATTGTTTTATGGGACCCTTCAAGATACATTAATCTACCACAATATCCACTTACAACCACAGCCCTCCTCAGGTTAGAACCCATCATCCAGGACTTATTACGGAAGGGGTATCTCAGGCCTATGCACTCTCCTTTCAACACCCCCATTCTGGCAGTTAAGAAACCCAATGGGTCCTATGGATTGGTTCAAGACCTTCGCCTCGTCAACTCCTCCGTGGTCCCCATTCATCAGCTAGTATCCAACCCCTACACCCTTCTCTCTCAGATCCCTGCTACCACTACCTACTTCTCAGTCCTAGATTTAAAGGATGCCTTATTTTCTATTCCCTTGTCTTCAGAGTCTCAAAATATCTTTGCTTTTACATGGACTGATCCTCACACCCGCCATTCTCGTCAGCTTACCTGGACCGTCCTTCCGCAGGGATTCAGGGATAGTCCCCATCTCTTTGGCCAGGTTCTTGCCCAGGACATCACATCCTTCCACCCCTACCCTCCTTCAATATGTCGATGATCTTCTTCTATGTAGTTCCTCTTGGGAAAAGTCTCAATCCCACACCGCCCAGCTTCTCAATTTCCTGGCAGATAAGGGGTATAGGGTGTCTCCCCACAAGGCCCAGGTTTCCCAGTCTACTGTCACCTACCTTGGCTTTCGCCTTGCACTGGGAAAAAAGGAAATAACACTAGATAGGAGGCAACTCCTTTCTAATCTTCCGGTGCCTCATACGAAAGCCGAAATACTGTCATTCCTAGGACTAGCAGGATATTTTAGGGCCTGGATCCCAAATTATGCTCTTCTAGCCAAACCCTTGTATGACCTAGTAAAGGGACCCCCTGGTGAACCTCTCGCCTCCTCCCCCCCCACCACTTCCTCAGACTTCAGCAACTCCTCTTAAAGGCACCTGCCCTTCACCTTCCCGATCTTTCAAGACCATTTCATCTATATGTCCATGAAAAAGGGGGACAAGCACTTGAGGTCTTGGGTCAAACCTATGGGCCTACATTCGCACCTGTGGTATATCTGTCCAAGCAATTAGATCCTACCATCCGTGGGTGGGCCCCTTGCTTAAGAGCTCTGGCTGCTGGACAAATCTTACACAAAGAAGCCTCTAAGCTGACTTTTGGGGCCCCTTTAACTATCCATTCCCCACACAATTTGAAGGATCTTTTAGCTTATAAGGGCCTTCAAACCCTTCCGCCATCCAGAGTTCTGTCACTCCTCACTTCCTTTCTGGAAAACCCCAACATTCCTCTCTTGCCCTACACTGAACCCTGCCTCCCTGCTCCCAATGACCTCCACACCTGACGCTCCAGTTCACAATTGCTTAGAAACCTTGGATGATTTCCTCCCCTGTCATTCTTCTATTTTTGAGGGACCACTCACCAATCCCGACCTTATCTGGTTCACTGACGGCAGTTCCTTTAGGCAAAATGGCACTCATTACTCTGGATACGCCATTGTTTCGGCCACTGAGATTATAGAAGCCAAAGCTCTGCCTTCAGGAACCATCAACCAACAGGCTGAACTTGTAGCAGCCACTCGTGCCTGCCTTCTAGTGCAGGGCAAATCCCTCACCCTTTATACTGACTCAAAATATGTCTTCCATATTCTATTATCCCATTCTCCAATCTGGAAGGAGCGAGGTCTACTTACCACCAAAGGTAATATGATCACTAATTCGGCTCTCATAACTAATTTGATAGAGGCCTGTCCCACCTCCGCAACAACCAATGTCTCTGGCACCTGTTTCTTGGTTACTGTAGTTCCTCAG